ATTTACGATTGTATATGTATGTAAAGAAAAACATTTAATAAAGTTTCCATTATTATTATATTATTATTATTATTATTATTATTATTATTATTATTATTATTATTATTATTATTATTATTATTATTATTATTAATATTATTATTATTATTATTATTATTATTATTATTATTATTATTATTATTATTATTATTATTATTATTATTATTATTATTATTATTATTATTATTCATCATGAATAAAATTAATGAACTACCCTTACACCCGAAAAATAAAATTATACTATACAGTCGTTACTTGCTGTCAAAGATATCCTGGGATTTCACTGTTTCTGATATATCTAAGACCTGGATCTGCGAAATGTTAGACAGTATTGCGACAAAATATATCCGAAAATGGCTGGAATTTCCTGTCTCTGCAACCCTTAGCAACGTGTTGTTTCCACAAAATAAATTTGGTCTGAATATTATTCTCCCTTCGACAAAATTTATCCAATGTCAAACTGTCTCTCGATCAGCTTTAAAATACTCACCAAACGTAGATATTAACAATCTATGGGCGGTGACGAGCACCAACAAGAACGTACAGTATGACATTTACAAAGACACAAAAGACGTACTTAAGGCAGTTAGAAAAGAAAACGAACAAACACTTCAAAACCACCTCATTTCGCAAGGTTCTTTCTTTTCCAGTATCATGAATCATTCCACATCCACATTCAACTCTTTATGGTCATCCGTTCAGAGCAAACTTCCGAAAAACATTTTTAACTTCACCATCGGATATATCAATAACATACTTCCAACACGAAAGAACCTATCAAAATGGGGACTATCATCAACATCCGATTGCTCTTTCTGCTCCTCACCTGAAACGCTGCTCCATGTGATTGCTGGATGTAAGACATATTTAGACGAAGGCCGGTTTACATGGCGACACGATTCTGTTTTAAATTTCCTCGCATCCACTCTTACTGCTGTGAAAAATTCCACACTTTACGCGGACATTCCTGGTTTTATGAATCCATCTGTTCTCACGGGAGATCGTTTACGACCTGACCTTCTGCTGGTGACTGAAAACAGATGTCTATACATCCTCGAGCTTACAGTCGGTTATGAATCCAATCTGCTAGTTAACGCCAATCGTAAGCGTCAAAAGTACCGTGATCTAATCAATGAGCAGGAAGCGGATTATGATAAAGTCAAGTTCGTCAATTTATCCTTGAGTACCTCGGAGTTTTTGGCCGATCTTCTGAAAATTTCGATGGCATGCTAAGTAGCCTTAAATGTGATGCCAAGTATAGTAAATACATAAAAAAGCAAATCGTGAACATATGCATACGAACATCATATTATGTATTTTGTAAACGAAACAAGGTGTGGGATAACCCAAAATTAATGTTAATATAATCCTTCTTAAAATAATTATTGTACAATAAATATATAGTATCAATTCAAGTAGACATTGATAAACTACCTGTAAAGCGAGGTTTATCATTGTAGTTGTATATATCTTAATAATCAATAAATAAAGTTTCCATTATATGACAGGAACCACCCATGTATAATCCCCGAGCCAACGGCGCTAGCTACTAATTCCGCACGGCTAATTATACCTGGATATCAGGATATGTAAAAATATAACAAAGTTCAAAGTTGTCACTCCATTTTGTTTCGACGTTATGCGCATGCACGAGTACAAGCTTTGGCTAAATAATGTTTTCTATTTTGATAGGACGTGTTTTGCTGTTTTACAGCTAATTTTTGTTTTAAATTTTGTAAAAAGTTTACAAAAGTACAAATCTTCGATTTTAATAGGAAATAAGCCAGCAGTTTCATAAATTAGTATAGCTGTTCAACCGTGAAACAAAGTTTGTAATAATTGTTTTGATGTTGATATTTTTAATAATTTAATTGTTGTTGTGCAGGTTTGGGTGAGTGTAAACATTTCAGTAGTAAAATTCCATGCCGTACTTGCTTTGTGTTGTCAAATTTATTCATATTTGCAAAATTTTTAAGCCATTCTTGAAGCTCAGTTCCAACGTAGTTCTCTTAAGTTCTTATTAAATTATGCTTTGAAATCTGACGCGTGGTTTGTTTTTTTCATTTAAAGGACAAGATCGAAGGAGGACGTGCGGGAGGACGAGACAGGTTACGAGGTGGAGACAAAATAAAAGTATCAACTTCAGTTGGAACTTTGGGATACTTCGTCAGATGTGAGAATAGTTTGGGTATTATTAGCAACGCACATGTGTTGAAGAAGGAAGGATGTAAAGTACTTAGTGTTCCAGAAGGTAGCAATGAAACTCCTATTGCCAAAGTAGAGAAGGTAATAATCGTTAACAATTTATTAAGTTTTTTTTAGGTTTATTTGAACACTTTTCAAACTATTCGGTACGTTCATAGCTACTTTGTTTGAAACCACGGGAACTTTTCTCCTTGTGTATATTATAATTATTTATATATATATAATTATTTATGAAATAAAGTACGAAACAAACGTTGTTACTCAGAGTTTCATGCCTGAGTTTGCAGACAATATTCGGACAACTATAAAGTTCTGGGGCCGGTTGTACGAAAGGTGGATAAGTTATCCAGTGGATAAGTCCTATCCAATGGATATGCAGATAGTCCTATTTGCCGAATAAAAATGCGTTGTACGAAGCACGGATAGTAGGGTGAATAGCTATCCGTCGGATAACCTTAATTTTAAACGGAGAAAACCGGATTCAGTTCCTGAAATTTCTTATCTCCGGCATCAGCTGTTGCTAGGTATTTGTAAACTTTTGTTGTAATATCTTCGTATAACTAGTGCATGAATTCCACTAACCTCTGAACTATCAAATTGCAATGTGAATTCCACTAACCTTTGAACTATCAACTTCTTTATGCGAAGGCAATAACAAAGACTGCGAGCTTTGTTTTCTTGTTTCAATACGTTGATTCAGTTTTATTTTATATACGGTCCAAATATTTGTCCTTTGACCTTTCACTTCATTCAAAACAATTTTAATAATATTTTCCCGCAAGATTTGATTGGGTGATCAAGGCCAGCGAACAAAATTTTTCGACTTTCGGCGCCTTAATTGTCGTCTACTTATATGCAGCTATATTTGTTTGGCGTTGAAGGCAATGAAGGGAACTCATTTAATGAAAGTTTTATTGCTTGTTTTCGAGCAATATAATAGAAAAAAAGAAGGAAAAAATCCAGAAAACGTAACGTCTAAGCACTGAGACTGGTCTGCGTAAAATGTGGCAAAGTCATGGCATTATTTAATGGGCAAGTGACTCAAAGTGAGCTCGGACCAGCGAGGCTCGGTACGTCAAGAGCAAGAGAAGTCATAAGTAAGTTTCCATGTGTATTTAGTGTCAAGAAAGGGACTTCTTAACGGTATTTGTCCATTTCTATCACAATAGCAATCCCTTTTAAATGAAATACACATTGTTTTGTCTTCAAACTTTGAGTTTATCCGCCGGAGAGTGGATTAAACTAACTCCGGACCTTGGATAAATTTATCCAACGGATAATGCATTTTATCCGTTGGATAGCGCTATCCAAGCTTCGTACAACGCGACTTTCACTCCGGATAAAATTTATCCGCTGGATAGGGACTTATCCGAACTAAAAAGACGCGGAGTAAAAAGGTAATTTATGTTCCCGACAAAAGACCCAGTAGTATAAGGCGTGTAAGGAAATTTCTTTCTGAAGTCCCATGAGATTTTATGGTATCCTCCAACCGATCATGTGAAGAAAACTTAAATAATTTTACATGTGTTATCAACTACGCTTTGGATACCTTAACACCTTTGAAAGCTGTAGTAACAAACCACAACGATCGACCATGGATGAACAATAACTTGAAAACCCTTATTAATAAAAGGCAAAAAGATTTTGACCAAGGTAACCAAACACTTTACAAAATGTTACGAAACAAAGTCAATCGTTCCAGAATAAGGTGTCGCAAGTTGTATTATGAAAACAAGGTCGGGGATATGAAGCATACTAAACCAAAGGACTGGTCGAGGGAAGTGAAACGGTTTTGTGGTCTTTCCATGGGAACACCTGATAATATTTTTGCAAACCTAGAACAGGATACACAAGATTCCATTGTTCTTAGTAATCTGATAAATGAGACGTTTTTGAACCCATGCTTAATTACCCTCCTTTAAACGATAATGTGGCTGTTATATCTGAAAACAATACCCCAATTGTTGTTTCTGTCGAAGACGTGTTGTTTCATCTACAGCGTATTGGTTCGGGTGAATCAAATGGCCCCGATAATCTACCGAATTGGGGGTTGAAATCGTTTGCAGATCTACACGCCGAACCTGTTACTGTGATATTGAATGCGTCTTTCCGGGAGGAATAGCTACACGCGGTGTGAAAGCTAGCAAAGCGTATGTCCCATTCCCAAAAATAAGATTGTATTGGACGTTAATAAAGATCTGCGGCCTACAGTATATCACTCACATCATCATTGTGCAAAATCGCTGAGGAAATTGTCATCTCATATGATCTAAAGTCTTCAATAATGTCATGTATACATCCCAATCAATATGGTTTTATTCCTGGCTCCTGTACTACATTGGCCCTAATATCCTTAATCCATCGTTGGACAGAAACTGTGGATGTGAGGGGCGGAACCGTACGAGCGCTGCTTACGGATTATCGGAAGGCATTTGATTTAATAGACCATAACATTCTTTGAAACTGCAGCGAATTGGTATTAAACCATTGGTGTTTAATTGGATAGTAGATTTCCTACGTGCACGATCACAAAGACTAAAGCTCCACTCGGACAGTTTTTCAGATTGGAAGCCTATAAATGCTGGAGTTCCTCAGGGAACCAAATTGGGCCCATGGCTATTTCTCCTTATGATTAACGATCTTTCGATCCCATCTGATGATTTTTAAGGTGATATGTTTAAATACGCAGACGACACCAATGTTTCTGAATCTATATTTAATCAAGAGTATACAAGTTCCTTGCTAATTCTATTGTGAATTGGTCCACGTACAATAAATTTATACTCAACCCGACAAAATGCAAGGAGATTGTGATTAACTTTCAACGTAATGAACCTGTTTTCTCGCCGATAAAGATAAACGGAATTAACGTAGAGCGTGTTGAAAAAGCAATGATTCTCGGTTTATTGATCACTCAAGACATGAAGTGGAATGCCCATGTGGATAAGATAACAACTAAAGCAGCGAAGCGACTGCATCTGATGAAACAAATAAAGAGATCAGGTCTTAGTGACAACAGTGCCTTTTTTAAGGAATTTTCACTGGAGGGGGGGGGGCAAAACAGGAAAAAAGGCAGAACGAAAAATATGAGCCGTCGAGGTTTGGCGAACGCGCGAGTCTGAAGAGAGATTTTGTAAAACTTTAATTTATTAACTTCAGCTATATTTTACTTTAAATTAAACAATAAACTTCAACTCTTTGTAGCTATAATTGTACAGCTATAACCAGTGGCGTAGCCAGACCTTAATTTTTTTTTTTTGGGGGGGGGGTAAACCTCACGCCGAAGGCGAGGAGGGTCCGGGAAAGGGCATGTACCCCCGGGAAAATTTTGAAATCTAGGGTCCCTGAATTGCGATTTCAAGCATTTTGGGAGTGAAATCTAGCAGAATTCCGAAGATTATAAAGTACATCGAAGACATGAATTTTTCCAGACATTTCTACTCGGAATTAAATAAATTGGAAAAGTCACATTGAAAAATAGGAGGAGGGGTCAGTGTCACCTTATTTCCTCTCTGTGATGCTGGGGGGGGGGGAGAAAATCCCAATGTGATTTTGATCAGAAATGTTGCATTTAAATCATTCTAGGTTCTATGAGACACCATTTCCGCATTCTCAAAATTGTGTTGCTTTTTCATACGATACAGAATAAATCTGAGAAGAAATATTCATGTTATGATGATGCATACATGTATTTAACAGTTAAAAATCTAAACTAAATCTATTCTTCTTGGAACCAGCATTTTATCGAATTGTTTGCATGAAATCTATCGATATTATGAAATACTCGGTGAAGAACAATATGAATTACACACAGGATGGCTGTGGAGGAGGCTATGAAAGGGCATAATCTCATTATCAAGTAAATCAACTGCAATTCTGACAGCAATCATGAGCAATTCTGCTTCGCACTTCGGGGGCAGAAATGGCTTTACTGGGGGGGGGGGATTTTTCCCTGGGGGCAATTGCCCCCCCCAGATATATAGTTAAAAAAAGGCACGGAGTGACAATGATTTAAAATGTTTCTACATTGCTTCTATATATAAGATCTATCCTTCAATACGCATGCATGTCAAGTATTTCATTACGGTCTCCCGGAATACCTTTCAGACCAAATAGAGCGGATTCAGAAGAGAGCTTTGCGCATCATATGCCCGGACTTACTTGTCGTATTCAGAAGCCATTAAAGAATAAGATATGGAAACTTTGAAAACAAGAAGGAAAGGATTATGTACCAAAGTCTTCAAATCAATAGTGAATGACAAACATCATAAAATTCACCATCTCTTACCTACAAAGCATTCAAATACTTACAACTTAAGAAATCCAAACTTTTTTAATATTCCAAGGTGTAATACAAATACAGCAGATTTAAAAACACTTACATTATATCAAGTCTCTCAGAACTAGTCTAATTACAGTTTTTTTTCATTTACATTTATAATATTTTTACCTTAGTATTGTTATACTCAGTAAGATCTAATTGTAAAGTTATATATATTTTTAATATAATTATTGTAAAAATCATGTAATTCAGCCTCCGGGCTGCGAGATGATTTGATTTTAATAAACCGTTTAATAAATAAAATAATAATAATAATAAATTATCCACCGGATAGCGATTTATCCACCTTTCGTACAACCGGCCCCTGATGACCAAATTTAACTGGTTGGTTTTGTTTGCTGGCCCGTGCGTGCTTGTGCATTCTTCTGTCGTGTATGATGTCGCATAGCCTGCGCGCAGACTATATAATGAGATATATAATCTGCGAATCTGTGGCATGAAGCTTGTATGGTCACGTGAATTTCCAGAAAGAAATTGGGACGAATTGTGATTGGTTGAACTATAATTATACAAAATTAATTTTGATTCATCAGACATTGCGTTCGCAAAGCGCGTTGGGCTGTTCAAAATTGACCGTTTCCAGGGTCAAATGACAATGTTTATAAGGGACGAGATTACACTTGTATTTATAGAAGTGTGGTGGAACAAGAAAGGCCGTTGTTTTCTAAACGGAAAACCCATTTCGCCAAACAGAAGATGTAATATTATAGACGAAATCAAATTTACGGGAGGCAAGAGTTTTGTTGATATAGCAAATAAGTTTGAAGTCTCGAATGGTTGGAAACGAGGTTGTGAAATCTCGAATAGCTGTAAAATCTCGAATAGCCGTAAAATCTCGAATACTTTTGGCCGAAACGGCGCGTCATACAGCACCGTATTAAGCGGTCACCCTTTGTTAAGCGGTCATGTAGCAGAGTCCCGAAAATTTCATAATATATATATACTATTTAAGTGACCTAAGATGACCGCGTCCGCTTAATAGATGTGATCGTTCAATAAAGGTCACTTAAATGGTGCCTATCAGGTGTATCAGGTAAATAATGTATATAAAATATGTATCAGGTAAATAATAATATGGTGCCTGATTACCTAATTGATTTATTCACGAAAACCAGTACACTTCATAATCATCAAACTAGGCAGGCTGAATTTAAGAAATCATTCTCGTACAGAGGAGCTGTAGCTTGGAATGATTTATTACCTAATATAAAAAATATGGGTTCATTGTCAACCTTCAAAAGGGCTCTAGTGTCAAATAGTGGTAATAATTCTTGATAATCAATTTATCTTTTTTTCTTTTTCTCTTCGATTTTATTGTATTAACTTAATAAAATATTTTTATAATTGCATGTAATTATTCATACATATATAGCACGGCCTATTGGAAGATCACATCTTGTAAATATTTTAGTTTTTGTCTTTGTGAAATAGTACCGTGGGTAAATAAAGTTTGATTGATTGATTGATTGATTGATTGATTGATTGATTGATTGATTAAATAGTGTTTATATACGGTAATGGCGCGCCGTTTCGGCCAAAAGTATTCGAGATTTTACAACTATTCGAGATTTTACAGCTATTCCGAGATTTTACAACCATTCGAGACTTCAAACTTATTCGCTATATCAACAAAACTTCCCATAAAAATACCTGTACCAGTTGCCTCCCTTAATTTTGATTTCGTCTATAATATTACATCTTCTGTTTGGCGAAATGGTTTTCCGTTTTGAAAACAACGGCCTTTCTTGTTCCGCCACACTTCTATAAATACAACTGTAATCTCGCCCCTTATAAACATTGTCATTTGACCCTGGAAACGTTCAATTTTGAACAGCCCAACGCGCTTTGCGAACGCAATGTCCGATGAATTAACATTAATTTCGCATAATTATAGTCAACCAATCACAATTCGTCCCAACTTCTCTCGGGAAATTCACGTGACCATACAAGCTTCATGCCACGGATTCGCAAACTATATATGTCGATCATTATATAGTCTGCGCGCAGGCTAGATGGCGCACGTTGTTCCATTGCAAGCGAATGTACTTTCCCGCCAGAAATTGTTTATGGACGCAATTCGAGAATATCTCGCTTCTCTTGTTAACCAGCGAGTTCTTTTTAAATTTCATGATGTAAAGTTTTTCGTCGCTACACAAATTGGACTGTTTATGTCCCGATCTGTATTTAACCATCCCTTTAGCTGCAACCTCAAGCTTTTGCAATCTAGCCCGAACCAGATGATCTTTAAGGTTTTTGCATCTTCTAAAGCATACCACAGACGGCTCTAGCATAACACTGAGGAAAGTGCCAGATAAGCCTACAATATTTTGCAATTCCCTAAAAATTCCATTAAGTTCCCGCAATACTGGGTGGTAATCTATGATAAAGGTACTTTTATTATTTTCTCTTCTAATTTGTCCACTTTCCCGTTTTAATAATGCTGACCGATCAAAATCCTCACTCTATTAAACTGACTCACTACAAATTCACTATTTAACTTGCACCTTTTAACAAGAAACCCTTTCAATTCCTGAAGCTTACTTTCAAAGATCTTATCTGAATGGCAAATACGCTTAAGACGCAATGCCTGTCCATAAGGAATTCCCCTCTTAACATGTGGAAGATGTCAGGACTTGATGTGCATCAATAGGTTTACTATACACATATCAGACTATCAGTAGGTTTACAGTACTCGGGGCTTTTTGTACTGTCGCCATATTTCAACCGGTTATGATCGATGATATGCAAATTAGTAAGGAAGTAGAATAATTATGTCCGTGATTACTGGCCATGTTTACTACGGCTCTCAAAGGGCTTTGAAAAAATCAAACAGGACAATGCACATAAACTATGGAAACTACTGTGGACGTAGCAGACTTATCTCCTCTAACATATTGTGGTTAAGAAAATATCCATTTTTTTTAGTAGATTTTCAACGATTAAAAACTGCATAAGCTATGACCCACTGTGAACAAAACGCCTGTTAATCTTGAGAATAAAAATGAATTTGCACTTCCTACTTTAAAAACAGAAAGATGTAAGAACGGATTTACTATTTTTACCTCAATGAAGGCATTATTGAAAATGGTAAGATGAGTCAAACGGAATCAATGACTTGCAGTTTTTGCCATTCAACATCCGTCCTTGCACAGCTCAAACTATAGTAACAGTAGTTAAAAATGAATTGCAAAGCATGCCATAGGCTATACTAACCAAGTCATGCTTCGTCATAGTAACCAAATAAGCTCAATCAAGTTTACAAAATTATATTAAAAGCTACAATACACAGGACAAAATACGATTCTTCCATACATTCCTGGTATTTCCAGCTCAAACGTTCATTGTTATTCCACATAAATGTTTTTACTTTCGTTATCGACGTAAACGTTTAGATAAACATTATTCGATCTTTACAACGAAAGAGAACAGAATATTGATCAATCAAGTGTTATGATCTATTTTTCATGGCAAAAAACCATGTGATGTAATACATTCTCCTTGACACACATGTTCAGTAGCGTAGCCAGCCCGACGATTTAGTCCCACTATGCAAATATTTTCGTGTTCATTGACTGTGAAAACAATCAATTTCTAAAGAAATGAATAATGATAATAGTTTTGAATTTGCATAGCGCGACTAAATTGTCGGGCTGTCTACGCCACTGAAAATGTTTGTTGTTCATTTGTACACGTCGGCATCTACAATACAATACAATAACATTTTATTTAGCCACGGCAAAATCTTCAGTATACACTATTTTACAAAAAGAAAAACATTAACTGGTTTACAAAATTGCCGTGTGAGAATCCGCGTTATCACATATACAAACGCGTGCCATACGAATCATCACATTCTCATCCTACTGTGACCATAGTAGTCCTCTCTTTAAGTATTTAAATCTCATCAAATTACAAGATCTAGTCAATATTTGCACTGCTGTTCTTATGTTTAAGTTTCACAACTCTCTCCTGCCTTCTACATTTAACCTCTTTTTTGTGCCTGTTGACCAATTACATAATTATAATACAAGGTTATCATCTAACCAATCTTATTCTTTTCCTAAACCAAGAACAAATTATGGTATGTTTAATATTAGATTTCAAGGGCCTAAAATATGGAATTCTATTGATAGTAAAATCAAGACCTCATCTCTTGCTTTTCTAAAAAACAATTTAAAATTTTCATATATCGAAAGCTACTAAACGATAGTAGCTTGTGCACCCTTTATTATTAATTAACTTAAAAATTGTTTCTCTATTTGTGTATTTGTGTTTTTTTTGTTTTTTGTTGAGTTAGTATTCTGTACACTATTCCGACCGACCGATAAAACTTATTTAATAGTCCAAGGACTTTTATTGTCTCTGAGTATTTGGTTGTCTAGCTTGATAAGCGCGTATGGTTTTTCTAGGTTTTTACCAATACCAACCTAGTCAATCTCAAATCCCCCCCCCCCAAAAAAAAACATGTATGTGTGTATGTGTATGTATATATGTGTATATGCGTATATATGTATGCATATATATATGCATATTGTAAATAATTTTTATGGTTGGAATAAAAAATGTTGTTGTTGTTGTATATATTGCTAAAATTATTATAAAAGTCATTTGTAGTGGATCATGTGTATATCGTAGTAGTAGTGGATCATGTGTATATCTTGCGGTAAACTATTCCATAATCGTGCCCCACTATAACTCAGATGATATATGGGAGCGGCTGACATATGGGAGCGGCTGACATATGGGAGCGGCGCACGCTTTGTCGTTGGTCCTGTACAAGTAGGAAACAGTACCAATGAACAGTAACAATTCAAAGCTACTCATATACTGTATAGTATGCTACGTAGTATGCTTAAACATTGATAAATAATGCTTAGCCATAACAAATTCTGTTAATGGCAAGATATTTATATTATATGTAGTGGGAAAGTGGCCTCCCCTTTATATACTTACGTGCCATTCATATAACAAATGTATACATTAATGGAGGAGAGATATTGCATGCTCTTAAACTCCTTCTCGTATAAGAATTTCCTTCTGAGAAGAAGTTTTCGGCTTAACATTAATTGTTAAATATTAAGCCGGAAAATCCTTGCCCGCCGTGGAAAATTCTTATGAAAGAAAGAGTTAAAGGGCAATCACAATCTAGTCCATTAATGGCAAGTTTGTTTACACCAACATTTCAGATTATCAAAACAAAACATCTTGATTGCGGTTACGCCTCACTTTACAGAAACATGGACAAGTTTCTCTTAAAAGATGGTAGTTCGGTGACTGGAATAGCAAAAGCAAAGGTTGAGACCGGTATAAAGATTTGTGGAGCCACATCTGGTGTTGTTGATGATGGTGTTATAGAATGGATCGATTGGGAATGTAAAGTTGACGGCGAAATAAAAGAGAATCAAATCAAGTTCACTCCCGGCCTACAGCATGGTGATTCTGGCTCACTTCTTGTTGATAGTTCGAATAATATGGCTGTTGGTCTTGTTTTTGCTGGATCTACGAAGGGTGACGCATCCTTCGCCAATCACATTGATGATGTCTTAGATGCATTAGAGGTTCAGCTTGTTACTACACAGCAAAATCCTGAGTCTTATTTTAAGAAATTAATTACTTATTTTAAGTTCATTTTTACGTAAAACAAGCAAAGCTTTACTTGTCCGTATCGTGCGAAAGTTTTTACTTACCAAGAATTGATTAAAATATTCTTAGCAAGAGTATTTTTCTTAACAAGTAATCAAGTGCTTGAAACGAGAATGTTAATTCAAATTTCAAGAAAATAATTACTAGTTTTAAGGATATATTACAGCATTTGCATGTCATTTAAACAAAAGAGAAGCACAGTAGAATGATTGGTATATCAATAACACTGAAAGAAGGACAATAGCGCGATTTGAACATCATTTGTGCTAGTAAGTAGGTTCTACAACAACACCTTATTATATATTCCGTAAAGAGAAAATCAATTAGACGAAACAAAGAACAATTGCATGAACTAATTAATCATTAACATTTTCACAACAACAATAGCAATAAATCTAAACACATTTAACCACAACAAATAATCATTAATATAAAGGCAAAATGTAAAGCTAACATTAAGGCAGACATTTCCCGTCCTCACATGCCAGGGGCGGATTCAGCGTCTCAATCTGACCGTAGCATTTTGGATGAAATCAACATGCGGGGCCGAAGGCCACGCCCTACCTAGGGGGGGTTTGGGGCATCCCCCCAAAACATTTTTCAAATTTGAAGCCCGCAAATACCATTTCCTGCATTCTGAGCATCGAAATTAGATTTAAAATTTGTAGAAAAGTGCTTGTTTTTCACACCAAAATAAGAAAAAAACGCACGAAAGTTACAAAATTTATTCATCAACATATCACTTCGAACAACATATTATCTTGAAAAAGTAAGATAACAGTAGTTCGAAAGTTTTCAAATGTACATCAACTTGAAACAGCGGCCCAACGACAGTTAGGGAAAATGTTTATCTGGCTAAGCAGCAGCATATATAGATCATCCCGAAACAGCAGGACAACTTATGGCAGTCAGGAAAAATATTTTCTGTACTGTATATAGATTAGCTCCAAGTTATAGGAAAAATGTTTATTTGTAGATCATCTTGAAACAGCAGCACAACGGCAATTAGGAAAAAATGTTTATTTGTATATGTTTTTTGTATTAAAATTCGAGCAGTACTGCAGGAATTCGCGCGGAGCTGGGTGCGCAAATTTTAGTACTGCGGGAAATATAATCCGCGCGAAAAGCTTTGCGGTGTAATATTCACTCGTTGTTAGTGAATAATATAATGTAAGGCAATATCATGTACGAAGCTATAATATATGGGATGCTAATAAAATTAGTTATTGTTATTGTATTAGGCAAATGAAAACCATACATTTTGAAGTTTGAACTTTATACGCTTTGCTGTTATCATGAATTTTGTTTTGACAAATATTGAAGTATCTGTTGTTATAGTTCTATTAAACAAATCAAAAGAAACCAACACGGGAAATTACTTGCGCGAATTTAAAGCTGCGCGAACAAGTTTCGCGAAATTGGAATGCGCGAAAATGAGTATACGACGCGAATTTTAATACAGGTAAGGTATACAATACATGGATTTGAAACATCTGAACCATATATTTATGATACGTTATGCCAGGAAGCAGGCTCAGCTGTTGTAATTCTAAACTCTGTTAGTATACATGTAAACTACAATATAATATATCGGAGTGTAACTATTTCTATAAATTTCATTTACACTACTCACTAGTCTTTATAGACTACAACAGGTCTACAACTAATAATTACATGAGCAAAGTCTAAGATATAAAATATATAGGAGATTAACTTACATATTTCTTAATATAAACACACTGTTACACACATGGCATGCCAATGGCTATCAAATAGTGTGAGTGGCCATTGATATTGTTCTGCATTTTTATAATAACACGTTTCATCAGCAAATATATGGTAATATATTCGAGACGCATGAACTGTGTAAAATTCGATATGTTATTTACATATTTATTATACTGTTCATGAGACTGACCTGACACGGAGGTGATTCAAATAGCGCTTTTCTTCACAGTTCACATCGCGGGAAATGCAAATTATGCCAATAATCGCACACCAAAAGCTTTCGATCAAATTCTTTCGCGCACCTTTTCGTTAAATGAAACACGTTACATTCGTTCATTATACACAGAAGTTTGTAGTCCTGTAGAAGTCATATCTTTCTCCTTGTAACGAGCGGCGATCAAAATTTACCGACTATTCGATTACAACAACGAGGAGCCGACACGACAATAACAAGCCAGCATTGCTCTGAAGTCGATGCGACTATAGCAAACAGTAGCATTTTGCCTCATTCTGATTGGCTTGCTTCGTCTGACCGTAGCAAACCAATCAGCACGCCGTATTTGCGCGTTTTTGCAAAGGTCAGTTTCAATCTGACCACTGCAAAAATTTCCAAATACAGCGCTATGATTGGTTTGCTACTGTTAGACGAAGCAAGCCAATCAGAATGAAGCAAATGCTACGACTTCAGAACGATGTGATATAGTACTAGTGCAAAACCCGCAAATACAGGCAGTATTTCGGGCGGAAATTTGAGAAAAACCCGAATTTAATTATCCAAAATGAAATAAAAACTCGATAAAATTGTATCAATATGACTTAGTAAATTTGAAAAAAATTGCACCAAGTTTCAATGAAAAATTGAAAATATCGGCAATTAAAAATAGTATAACGTTTTAGTTTTTAATAACTTTAAAAAAGGTACACCCTGGAAAATATATCTCGGGGAAAATCTGACCGTAGCATATGCTACAGTCGCAACGGTCTGAATCCGCCCCTGACATGAACTTCGTATGAATGACAGACAAGCCGCAAGAAATGCACAACTACCACAATGGGTGAATTTCGGAAACAAATAATGATAGCAGCTGCTGAATGAAACCGTACCGAAATGTACCGCTTGGGGCAGACATATGCAGACATACTTGCCACGATGTCTTGCAAGAGAACACATCCATGGCCAAAACATATTAAATAGCATTTTTGCTGTTGTGTGAACCGACAAACATTAAATCTATATTTGTTAGAACGCGACATCTGACTATATACGCCTTTATATTATTGATTATTTGTTGTGGTTAAATGTGTTTTGATTTATTGCTATTGTTGTTGTGAAAATGTTAATGATTAATTAGTTCATGCAATAGTTCTTTGTTTCGTCTAATTGATTTTCACTTTACGGAATATACAGGGTGTATCAAAAAAAGCGCAACCTCGGAATTTCCCAAGAAATCGACATTGTTTTAAAGACAAAAGATTTTAGGCGCCTGGGAATTTAAAATAGCATAACTGTCAAAATTACTGCACACGCGAGTGCATAAAGCAAAATTTATCCATTTATTTAATGCACAACAACAGGGGGCTAAAATTCAATTCAATTCCCAGGGGCCTAAAATCTTTTATGCTTAAGAATTGCAAAGTGATTTCTTAGGAAATTCCGAGGTTGCGGTTTTTTTATACACCCTGTAGGGTGTATCAAAAAAAAGGTAATCGAACTTCACCGCGCTATTATACTTGAATTACTCTGCGTATGAACAATTGGTTTTCATATTCGGAAAGATCAGGCTTTTAGCTATTGAATGACATGCTTTTTATACCAAGTGGAGAATAAATAAGCATGTACGAGGCCGATTAAAAATGTTAGTCAAAATCGCATATTTTCACCTCTGTGCCTAATTAAAACAATGCATAACAAAAGAAAAAAGCAATTAATCACGAACGTGTCGTAGCTTAGCTAAGATTATGAATATGTGTGCAGTTTAATGAAGTGAAATTCATCAACTTAAGTGCTAAAGGGAATTCATTTTCAATGGTTTTAGACCTAACTCTCAACGGTGAAAATATGCGATTCTGACTAAGATTTTTTATCGGATTCGTATTTGCTCATTTTTTATCCATTTGGCATGAAGAAGATGTCATTTAACAGCTAATAGCATGATCTTTCCGAATGTGAAAAAATCTCGTTCATACTTAGAGTAATTCAGATACAATAGCGCGCTGAAGTTCGATTACCTTTTTTTTGATACACCCTGTATAATAAGGTGTTGTTATAGAACCTACTTACTAGCACAAATGATGTTCAAATCGCGCTATTGTCCTTCTTTCGGTGTTATTGATATACCAATCATTCTACTGTGCTTCTCTTTTGTTTAAATGAATGCAAATGCTGTATCACTTAAATCTAGTCAGAAAATACTTGTCCGTATACGTATAGTGAGAAAGTTTTACTTACCACGAGTTGAAATTCTTGGCAAGAATATATTTCTTAACAAGGAATTTAGTCCCTGAAATGAGTATTTCAATTCCTATTTCAAGAACTAGTTTTAGGTATGTTATTATTTGAATCTACTAAAAAAGCGAGGATAATTTCAAGCAGTTCTCTCTTCAAAACTATATCTGGTTTCACCTGGTTTCACCATCTTAAGGAAATCCTGGTCAAGTACATATATTAACAAAGATTTCTGGAAATTTTTCCATGCAAGACATTTAACCATGGACATTAATTCAACACAATGCATGAACGATTAGGCTAATACATTTATTTTATAGAAAACAAGACTTATTGATATAATGATTAAAGATATTCCCTTTACGTTTATCAAATAAACTGTCCACATGATATATGGAACCGATTTATCACCAAACATAAAACATCAGATAATGCAGTTGTTCGTTCTAGTTGTTCGTTTTAAAATCGCTAATTCGTTCTTCGGTCGATGTAATTTCTTTCTGTTGTGGCAATGCTGGTTAAGCTACTGAATTTAAAATACACACATAATTTTTCGTTTGTTTACTCGCAGTCTCAGAATGCTAATTGCCAAATGTGACTATCACATGATATTTACAAATAGAAAATATTCGATTTACTTACCAAGAACTAACACGATTATGCCCACCTAAAAATAATTCATTTACATATCCCTGTTATATTCTTCTAGCTTTCAAACGTATTCTTTAAATCATACCTCGTCAGTGTATGCCATAGATATCTTATATATACATTAGATAACGCATCTCTTTTAGTAAAATTGAAGCCAAGAATATTCCAGCGGTTACCCCCATTTGAATAGATGGCGGCCATGTTGGTCGTTCCCACTCGCTAATAAACGCTTAAAAACAAGAATAACTTTCATCATTTGAATACTTTAAAAATGTATTTGGCATAGGTTTAACTTAATGTTTAAGTTCCCTGTTTAAGAAATAGGAAATATACGAATCTTCTCTCATTTCATGGGAACGACCTGAGACTGCAATCACGGCTTCAAATTTTGAATTGCAGAATAATTAGATGCACTATCTAGTGTATATAAGATATCTATGGTGTATGCTAACTTTTTCATGCTCGACAATGTTCGACGACATAACAACATTTAGGAAGGCTCACTTTCAAATTTGATTCTGAAGTTGTTTTGTACTTTTAACAACGGTTTTATATATTTGCGTAATCGTATATGAACATTTGTCAGCACTGGAAGACGATTTTGAGCTAAACAAACGAACTTTTCTAGCAAAAATTATCATTTTAGTAAGTGTTATAACGGCAAATTGTAATATAATCTATGTTTGTTTACGCTCGCGTTTCTGAGTCACAGGCCTCGAAGCAAATTTAAGCACGACGGAAATTTTTGCGAAAAGGCAAAATTGCCATGTTTAAGGGTCTATAAACATGGAATTGTGAATTTATGCTTGTTTTAATAAATTATTATTCTTGGTAAGTGAAAAATTACTTGATTTCTCATTTCAAATCCCAAGTCGTTTCTCGGTTGGTGAATTTATGCTTGTTTTAAGTAAATTATTATTTTTGCAATTTTGGCAAGTAACAAATTACCACGTCTTTTCCAGACATGACGTTTTTGAAGTGGTGGTAATGTTAACACAATAATTTATTCATTTTACAGTCAAAATACAAGAAGTGAACCTTCCCACTTCCGCAATCTGTTGACATTTTCTGTAATTTGTTCTGTATTACTGTAACGGTTACCGATTTATAGACAAATACGGCGATAAAATTCAAATTTCGCAGGTTTCATGTGCTAAAATGCAGCGAATATAGCGAAAAATGCATCTTCAAATTATCAAATTAAAACAAAGAGAATTAAATTTTGTCCCCATATTTGTTGATAATTTCGTAATATCTACAGAAAAACAGAACAGTTTACAGAAAATTACAACAGACTACAGAAGCAGAAGTGGGAAGTTTGTTGTATTTGCACTGTAATTTTTTTTAACAAATTGTAAAAATAATAAGAAGATTATAACGTGTACTTTTAATTACAAAATATTTAATTTCTAAAATATTTATAGCAAGTGTATCTTTTTTTACGCGTAATACAGGCTATTCTTCAATTTCATGTAAAATTCAACCTATAGCGCTTAGTAAAACGTTTTGTGATGTTCATAGAATTAAATTGTTCTTATCCATGAACTTCCCATGTTTGAAATAAAGTCATTCCAAATTAGGCATTTCCCTCTTCAAAATAACTTTTCTCTCGTTTTATATCTAAACATTTTTGATAACATAAAATAACAGAAATTAGGTGATTTATGGAACTTAAAGATACACTAGCTTGAATTAATACACGGTGAATACGCTGTCTTTTATCATACGCAAAATTTTTGAAGCAACCAATGCATGAACATTTAAAGGTGGAGTAATACGGACAACAAAATTGCTGCAACTTGCAACAAAAACTGATTTCAACGCATGTTAATTGAAAATTTTCACACATACATTACAAATCACGAGGCAATATGTGTCAGCATTTCTACTTAACATGCGTTGAAATCAGATTTTGTTGCAAGTTGCAGCAATTTTGTTGCTCGTATTACTCCAGCTTAGAGCAAAGTCAAAGTTGCTTGTGTTTTAAAGTGGCACTCGCGTCAAAATTTTTATTTTTTTAAACGAAAATGCTCTTAGAACTGTATAGTAACTTGTTTGTTGATTTTTGTTCCGATACTTAGTTCTTCTGATATTTCATTTTGTTCGTAACCATGTGACGTCATTTACTCAATTACATCATCGTCATCGTCATCGTCATCGTCATCATCATCATCATCATCATCATCATCATTATTATGGTTTATTACATATTTTCGCACACGTATGTGAATTGCAATATGTTTACAAGAAAGTTATATATAACAAGTACGATCGTACTATAGTGGACCAGGAACTCAGTGCGTGACCCAGTTTTGATCTTGTGCAAATCGTTAAACGTTCAAAACCTTCGAGATTTTGACTTGATAAACAAATAACTAGACACTTGTGAAACTAATGTTCTCGAAGTTGGTAACCGGTAGACGGAGTTCGCTAAATGTGTTTCTTTAATTTGGTCATGCAAGATATACTTTATCCGGGCAAAATGTGTCTAGTGCCGTGTATAGCCTAAATGAGGTGTAAATCTGGACAAAGCATAGATAACTAAATGCGCAGTTTTCAAAAGTATTTCCTCGCATTTGAATTCGATAGATAAGTTAAATGTCCCACAATATTTACAATGAACATGCCGTGCCTAAGTCAGCTAACTTTTGCGGTACATCAAATTTTGCCGTGCAGTGCGTGCTATTAATTGCAAAATATTGCAGCCACAGTCGTGTACGTGCCGTGTACGGGGCTTAAGTTAAGGTAACAAATTATCTGAATTGTTGCTTGGTTAATACACTTTCATCTCGCTTAGTCATGGCTTCATAACTGCATGCTTGTGCTAAAAACAAATTTACATCTCTTTGTTTTTACGGTTCACGATTTTCTATCGGACTATGAATACCATATGACAGCCATGCATATCCGACTCGTCCCAGTCGCTTTAAGAGCGGGCGCGCGGCCAGAAGTGGGCGCGTAGAGGCTCACGGCAAGGGCGAAAGAAGAAAATTTAGCGACTGGCAGATTACTGTGATTTTTCTTGCAAGAACTTGTTTTTCTTGCAAACTAATATTTTATGCTCCAATTTTGGATTTTTTGACATTGGTATACATAAATCGATCATTTTATGATGTAGTCTCTGCAAAGTGCGTATTTTTATCAAGTATATCGGCCTTCAATTGGTCAAGTCTGGAGTACTTCAAAATGGCGGACTCTGACGAACTTAGATGGTGAGTCTAAAAGATAATATAATACATTCTACCACTTGAATGTCTTGAATTTGTTGACCCTTTGAGCCGTAGCATAAATTTGCGTATACTAAAGAAATTAAGAAACTGGAATTCATTATACGCTCGGCTGATTAGCGCCATGTTGCCTTGTTTCAAGTTGTAATTTTTGTCGTTCTGAACTATAGACTTCAATTCCATAAATTCAGATGAATGTCCTAAGACCAGCACTCCTAGAACTCCTAAAGCGAGAAAGTTACTGCCATTTGACGTCAAACACGACCTAACACCAGATTCTAAGAGTCCGGGATTACCAAGAAGGCAAGAACTAAATGCAGGAAAGTTTTTCAAGGTTGGAACTTGTATTTTTAATAAGTCACTTGTTTGAATGTGCAGGTGATGTTGGCACATTTGTTCCTGGAGATCTTCAGGGCTCTTTAAAGACTATATGCATCAAAACAGATGGGTTGAGACTTAAACAAGAGGATGTTGTTACTGATGATCTTAGTGTAAAAAGCCACCTTTCAAGAGCTTTGGCAGCCATATTTCCTAACTGTGAAAAGAAAAGGGTGTTGTGCAAACATAAACAAATATATTCTTTTTACATGTGTAAAGGCTGATGTGCATATGTAATACATGATCAATCCAATTCATAACATTGTATTACAAATGACATAATATTTTTATATTTGTCTGGTATATTGTGTTTTGGTTAATCTTTCTCAGGATGCTACGTCACAGAATAAGGTACACAGAAGGCCGACTTCTCGGGTTTTCCTATGATTTAGGCGTAACCTGTAATTCGTCATCAAATGGTAACGCCATGGTCCTAGCCAGTGTGCGTTTGAGAGGCATTCACCCCCTGATATTATTCAAAATGGCGAACGTCCAGGGGGGAATGCCTCTTAAATGCGCACTGGCTAGGACCATGGCGTCAGCATTTTTGATGATGAATCATGGTGTGGCAGTGGTTACTCGAGTCGACCTTCTGTGTGCCTTATTCTGTGGCTACATGCCCCTCACTCACCTTCCCCCCTGAATTTTTCTGCACAACCACCCACCCCCCACCATGCAGATAACATATGAAAGTATAAAGCTTTATTAAGTTAATATAATAGACATGCTCCACTACATCATGTACATTAACTGTAATTATAATACATTTTAGTTTTAAATTAATTTAAAATTATTCACTGTTAATAATTCCATTGAAGAAGTCCAATTAAAATGGTTCAAAATTAATCCAGCTTTTGTGTCTTCAATTTCCATACATCTTGCTTGGTCCTGCAGTATTTTGCCACATTCTAATCACGTGATATTGAACACCGTCGACTCGTTAAATGGAATATTTTGTCTTTCACCTCATGAAACTATTCTTACCTTTGCACTCATAAACATTCACTATTGGTATAGAAATGCATTATTGCCAAAATGAAAAGAGAAATCCATCCGAGGCAAGAGCCTCGACTGAAGTATCATAGGCCTCGCACCAGGGACGCCGGAACGATAATAGGGCAAATAAATATAAACTATAAATTACCTGAATCTCGTAATTTTCCTAAAAAAAGCATCGTTGGAAATGTGATTTATCACGTATTATTTTACAACTAAAAGGGCACTTCTGCCCCCCCTGCCCCCCCTAGCAAAAGGCAAGGGGGGCAGCCGCCCCCCCCCCTGCCCTCCCAGTTCCGGCGTCCCTGCCTCGCACAAATCCACACTTTTCTCCATATTTACATCACCCCCGCTATCACAAGAAACGTCTTCGGCAAAAGAGAGTTCGCAAGATGATTGTGTTGCAAAATTTGAGCTGTGGCTTTCGTCAGAAGACATAATTTTGAACAAAAAACAGCCTAGTATAAGCCTTTGATAATATTAATTTCTCCTTCAGGAAAGACAACCTCGTACCCAGGGCCAGTCGTGAGTTGAAGGCAAGCGACATGGCCCTGGTAAACGCTGGTCACGTGTCAGGCAAATACTCCAAGATTCTTGGAGTATTAGCCTGCGAGCGGGCTTTATGGAAATAAAGACAGGGGGGCGACGAAAAGTTCACAAATAGAACTTGAATTGCCGTGGATTATTTATATTCTTTTATTTTTTGTTGTAATCTTTCTTTTTAATGTGTTACGTTTATATATTACGTCGAATGTACGTCAGTCTTCTTTTATATCGCATCATATAAATCGCCGAGGAGGCGATGACGCGTGTTTCGGCTTTCGAAGGACAATTATGGAGACAATTGCAACCTCGTACGTACTATTTGTGATGATTTCCATCAAGTAAAAAGGTACAGTATGAATTTGAAAATGTCTAAAAGTATTTTATTGTTACAAATTATTTAGCAGATTCCCATGAGTTAATACGTGCACGTGCACTCTGGCGAATATCGCAATGTTGGCAATGCCGATGCGGTTGCCTTTAATTATTTGTTATTGACCAGCTCTATGAAATATATATTTCGAAGGCTGTTATATTTTATACAGTATGTTATAGTTAGCTGAATTTGTAGTTTAAATATTGAGAAACACATGGCCAGACAATGGCCTATAATACTATACCCAGACTCTCAGTAAAGTTTATAATACTATACCCAGACTCTCAGAAAACTTCTCACATGATTATTATTTACAATTGATTGATTTATCACAGCAGTATATTAACTTCAAATACTTTGTTTTTTTACATTTACATTTAATGACCTGAAATTATTTAAATAAGCCATTATTAATAACAGAGTGGCCAGGTTGACAAAGCTAAAATCTGATGAACCTCAAGGTCTTGAACTGCTAGGATATTTTAATAGTCAAACATCAGTTTCAGCATTTATTCAGCATTAGTATAATTATATAGGTGATTACTGAAAATTCTCCACGCTGATTGGTTGCCGTTGAGGTAATTATTACGCGATAATCACCTAAGCGATTTTACTGATTTTCAAATTGACGGCCGAAGCCGTTTTGTCAATTAAATGACGAAGAAATATGTATTTTTTTATATTTTTTCCAAATAATCACCTATGAAATTATACTAAAACAATTATTCACCTCAGGGTCGGTGATTATTGTGAATAAAAACCTCGACTTCGTCTCGGTTTTTATTCACCGATAATCACCTCGCCTTCGGCGAATAATTGTTAATTATTTAATGTTAATTATCTAATTAGTTAATGAGTATTTTTAATATCCATGACAACTGCAGCTGGTCAGGGATTTTTTAGGGAAAAGGTTTAGCACCCCATCGTAAAAACCTGCCCCCGAATCTCAGAATTTCATTATTTTGTTCCCTTGCC